TACACGGTCAGAAATGGTTTACAGCCCTGATACAGTTTTATTCTCCAAGGTACAAATAACAATCATGTACCCTTAACTGTACAAAAGTGTTCTTCAGAGTCCATTTCTGTGCCTTAAAAGCTACATTTACCTACAGCTAGGGTACAGTTGGCAGACCCTTGAGGGTACAGCCCCAGTGATGAGTAATTGTATCCTCAAAGGCACAAATTGGTACTTTTTTTCTGACAGTGCAGTGTACCCTATCATTATCATTTTTTGTTGAACTAATAATGTTTTCCCTTGACACTGTTATCCTGCTTTTACACTGATTAGTCCCATCCACCCAAAATTACTTCAGAATGACATGGCATCTGTTTCACAGTGCGTCCTACTACATGCTACCCATCCGACTACTTTTGGATCAGCAAATTTTTCATCCTTGCACAATGACTGCAATTCCATCCAGTTCCTCCAGCTCCTCACCAAATGTGTCTCACCACCCAGTCCAATTAACATGGGATTAAGGAAAACCTCTACATCACCGTGGGATTATGTGTAAGTTCTGCTTAACCTTTTTACAAGCAGATTATTTTCAGTTATCACTGACTGACTTATCACTGATACAGACTGAACTGCACAGAACAGGGTTTCAGAATAGACTTCTCTATGAGCTGTAATTTAGACTTGTCAATGTCAATGCATTTAAAGTGATACAACTATTTTAAATTAAACTTGTAGTCTTGACCGTAGTCTATACACTTTCATTATTATATTGCAGAAATTCTCAGCCGTACACAAAAGGCTATGATTAAGTTACATATTTAATCATCAATTTAATGCCAAGGCTACGGAGGTAGAAAGTGCAGCCTGGTATGGAGATATAGCAGGAAATACGAAAATATGTATCACCATAAGAATCATAAAAGCAGTTTTGCAGGGAGCACTGTGTAGAGGTGCTGTGTCACCCCTTCAGGGTTGGGCTTCATGTCCTATCACTGCTGTGAAGATTCCAGAGCTGGATAATTCAAGTCCAGCTGAGTACTCTGTGACTGTGACTCTTTATGCTCAACTGGCTGGTTGAAACAAAATCTTGGTCTGGACTTTTACTCTCTGGACCGGTTAGTTGAATTGGTAACATCTGACTGTCCATGCCGATGTCAACCTAGGGCCCCCAGATACGTTGATCTACCCCTGTCACCTGTAGTATGCATTAGTAGTAGAAGATTAAAAAAGAATCGCTTTCAGTAGTAAATATGTGTATTCTTTTCTTCTACCCAGCACTTAATTTTCCAAAGCAAGTGAGTAAGGCTTCATAGTGGTGTTTTCTCTTGTGTGTTCCAGACCATACATAAAGCTCGACATGGCCTATGGCGACGGCAGGCTACTGCAGGCTCAGTGCAAGAACAGCAGCTGCACAGGAGACTTTGGACGGCGGTACCTGTCCAAACCCATAAACCTCACCATCCCGGTCGTATTCCGGCGGCCCATCAACGGCACACAGCCCATCAACAGCACACAACCCACCAACGGCACACAGCCCACCAACGGCACACAGCCCACCAACGGCACACAGCCCACCAACGGCACTCAGTACCGCCTGAAGCTTGGCCGCATCAGCATCACTGTCGGCTGCACCTGTGTGCTCGCCTGGTGAAAAACAGCGATCACCGCTGCCCTTTTTACCTCGAGCGGCACTCCTGCCGGACGTTTTATGCCAGATTTAAAAATTACTGTGCTATTTTAATGGAACAGTTTAACACTGGCAAACACCTAATCAATTTCAGAGTTGAACTGGCAACAGATGCATTTCCTTGACTAGCATGGCGCCGGCTGCAGGGTTAAAGCCCACTCACTGTGTCATCCAAATGACCTACACAGGAAAAAAATGCATTTATTTGTTGATACAGCTACTTTTATCCAAAACAGCTTACATTGTTTTCACTGGTACAGAATTTCTGGCACCAGATCCCCTGATCCTATTTGTATATTTTTTAAGTCTTACCCCTTTATACATTACAATATTCCTTGGCTGAAATCCAGTAAACTGCAAACTGCTTTGATCTGGGCTATATGGTAGTTGTCAACCTTGTCATTTAGGCTGCAATAACTTTAGAAAGTTAAAAACATGACATACTGTTCTTCTAATGGGACTATTTTACAATTAAATAATTGGCCTAAATAATAATAATAATAATAATAACAACAGTGTAGTTCAACAACATGCAGTGTCAAGAATGTTAAGAAACTTTACTCCACACACAAATATCCATAAAACATGCTTGCTGAATAGAATCCAGAGTTTTATGAAGTGTTTTTCTAAATGTCAGGCATTTATGTTACAGATTGTAAAATGTTTCTCGTTGCCCTACTGTTTGTTTGTAGCAAAATACTGATTGCAGTAAAGCAATTAAAACTTTACTGACTTTGCTAAATGTGTACTAATCTTTGTATTTCAAGATGCTTCAGCATTTGCTCTAATTCTATTTTCTTACGTAATTGGGGAAGGCGGGGCTATACGCAGGGGCGGACTGGCAATCTGTGCGTTCTGCAAAAGTCCAGAACGGCCGCTGATCCGCGGCCGTCGGCCTGCCTTTTCTCTTAAATGGGAAATCAGCTAACAGCAGATGGCGCTAATACGAT